TCGTGGTTGCCCATGTGGGAGTTTACAGTGCTTTAACCACCATGCCACCCGCTGGCCTCCTACCTCCCCCTTCTTAAGGGAGATCTTTGCTGCACCAGAGAGACAGAGAGAAAGTGAGAAATCAGCCCCTAAGGTTATGGCCACCCTGCAATCCCTTATTTTCCATTCTCTCCTTGGGAGTTTGGGCTTGCACAGATATGCGCCTGGTCATGAGTATCAAGCTGCTGGGTCTGAGACTTGAACTGCGATCAGCCATATGGTAGTCCAGCACCTTAGCCGCTATGCCTTAAATTACATCCTTTTAAAAAAAATATTTATTTATTTTTTTTAGAAAGACATAGAGAGATAGACAGAAAGTGAGAAATCACCCCCCAGGGGGAATGGCCACACCGCAGTCCCTTCCCCTCCATTCTTATCTCTAGATTCTGGTCACACACTCACACATGCCCGGTGTGAGTTTAAGCCACCGGGTCCAGGGCTCGAACCGTGGTTGACTATGTGGAAGTCCAGCAACAGAGCCATTATGCCAACTGCTGGTCTGCCGTAAATTAAATTCTAAGAGGTCCAGCTTTGGTGCCAAAGGTGATAGGGACTCCACTGTGTGATGCTGGAGCCATATGGGGTCACCCTGCGTTTGGTTCCTGGATTGATGTGCATGGAGGACACACAGGTGGGTACCTGTGACCGTGGCTGAGTAAAAGACTGAGGAGGGGTTGGTATCATGGCATGACAAGAGCCTGTTGGGAGTTCCTGTCGCTTTCTTTCTTTAAGAAATAAGTAAGCTTAAAAAAAATTTGAAGTGTGAAAGTATAGGGGCAAAGTATGAGAGTGTACTTTCTGGTAGGTGGCGTTGTGGTTAAGGTGCTGGATTCTTATATGGACAACCACAGTTTGAATCCTGGACCTGGCAGCTTGAAAATCATACCAGGTGCATGTGTGTGCCCTAAATCCCAAGAGAATGAACAAGGGATTACAGCATGGCCATCTCCCCTGGGAGAATGATTTTTAACTTTCCTTCTCTCTGTCTCTCTTTGTCATTCTGGTTAGTGCATGTGCCCTATGGCAAAAACCTAAAAAAAACCAAAAACAAAAACACTTTTAATTTTGCCAGAGAACACCCAAGATAAGAGAGTGCTAGTGAGAGAGAGAGAAAGAAAGAGAGACAGAAAGCACCTCCTAATGGGGTGTGGTCACACCTCAATCCCTTATTCATTTCTCCCTCCTGTTGGGATTTTGGACATGCATACACATGCACCTGGCATAATTTTCAAACTACCAGGGCCAGGATTTGAGCTGCGTGGTCAGGAACGTGGGATCTGGCTCCCTTAAGCAGTAGACTACTAGGCTGACCCAAAAATGTACTTTCATATGATTCTAAGTAACAAGCTTTACTCATTTGAAATGCTGAGGGATTGTACTTATTTCGTTTCTAAATTTAGCTATTTCATATTTTAAGTGCCAGAGAAACACGTAACGAAATGCATTATTTATATTTTCTTCTTATGTACTCTGTCTTGTTATGCAAAGGTGTTGAGTCAGCTTATAAAAAAACACCTACAAGAAATGTTGATTTTAAAAAATAGAAGTACAAAATTAGTATCAGAGAAAAAAACTAGGAGTATAATGTTAGATGAATGAATTGCTAAGATTTGCGTTTCAGATGTACCTGTAAATTTTCTCATTGCTGACATAAAAGTGATGACTCTATCTTGAAGAGAAACAAAGCACCCATTTTCGGTGGTGAGGCTTTCTGTAGCTGTAATTTCTAAATAAAAATTAATGTGACTTTATACAGAGAAAGAGGTGCTGGATGATGCCGAGGTAATATTCTCTGAACTAGTTTGTAGGAAATTATGAATTTTACCTACCGGTTACAAGGAAGCATTATTAAGGGTTTGGTAGTTAAAATTTAAAAAAAAAAAAAGATACATGTAAGAAATGCTTAACATAAAATAGAGGAAACATAACCTGTGGTTGTTTGAAAGCACTTGCCAACTTCAAAACAAGGGTTCGTTGGGCTGGCCATGTAGCCTAGTGCTTAAGGGAGCAGGATCTCACATGGCCGACTGTGTTTGGAATGCTGATCCCAGTAGCTTGAAAAATATGCAGGGCACATGTGCATGCTTGCTCCAAATCCTGACAGCATGGAAAGATGGAGAAGGGACTGCGAAGTGACCACACCCAAGTGAGGGTGTCTTCTCCCTCTCTCTCTCTTTCTCTCTCTCTGGAGAGCATGTGTGCCTTTTGGCAATTAAAAATAGCAGCAATAAAAAACAGAGTTCTTTGATTCAACTTATCTGCTATCCATCCATTCATTGACTTGTTTAAACAGTGGCATTAATACTTTTGGTAATAGGGGCCTGGTAGATGGCATGGTGGTTGAGGCACTGGACTCCCACATGGTCGACCACAGTTCAAGTTCTGGACCTGGTGACTTACTTTCACTCTTCCTTTCTCTCTGTCTCTTTTTGGTCAAATTGAATAATAATAATAAATAAAATTAAATAATTCTTTAAAAAATACTTTCGGTGATCGCTTCTTATTATAAAAGTTGTTTATGTCTTACTATCAATGTGATCAAAAGCCCCAGTTAAATGATTGGATTATTTTTGCTTTTCAGTTGGTTGTTTAGGGGATGAGACCACTGGACTGAATGGCACTGGATAGGATGAACTGTACTCTGTTTATATAATCCAGTTCTTTGGACACATACTGTATTTATTCTGTCAACATTTTCTCAGTAAGTGGAGGTAGTCTAACTGTGGGTTATGTTTAGTTGATTCATTGACTTGTTTTTGATAGAGCCTTCTTCCAAATGAAGAGTCTTAAAAAAAAAAAAAAAAAAAAAAAAAACCTCTTAATTTTTTTGGAAGAGGAGGAAGTTGCGGGTTGTGATTCTGAGAGCACCATCAGGGTCTGATTTCATTTGAGAAATTATTGGAGATATACGATATACTGAGGGTTTATTATACAGAAGTTACATTATCCCCACTGCTATTTCTCTAGGCTTAAATTCTTCACAAATGTGTAGCTATCTTTTTTTCTTCCCCCAAGAGAGATTTTTGCTGTCGGGCACATGCACTCGCCGGAGAGACAGAGACAGACAAAAAGATAGGAAGTGAGAAACCACCCCCTATGGGGAATGGCCACACCACCCTTCTCCTTCAATCTCCTCTCAGGATTTTAGGCATGCACACACATGTACCTGGCGTGTTTTATGCAGCCGGGTCTGGGACTCAAATCCCAGTCAAATATGAAGGAATCCAGCAATGTAACCATTATGCCATCTGCTGGTGTCACATGTTTCAGGCGTACAGAAATGCTAGGATTGATACCTTTTCTGTCCGTAGGCAACCTTGGAAATGAGTGAGTGTTCTGCAGAATGAGCTAGCTTTCCGACAGCAGTAGCTGAACTATATCCATGACTTTTCAAGCTTTTGTGTACGTGCAAAAGAGTATCAAAGCCACCAGTTTTGCAGCAGTTCGGTGTTACTGACAAAGCAGCTAATTGCCCTTTCATTCTTCTGCCGTGTTTTCCAACTTATCCCAGAAAGTTTGACATAACTACCTACTACCTAAATTAAACTTATGT